TGGATTTCAGAGTAAGGCAGAAGTGTGTGTGTGTGTGTGTGTGTGTGTGTGAGAGAGAGAGAGAGAGAGAGAGAGAGAGAGAGAGAGAGACAGAGACCCGGGGGTGCTGGATGGAACCTGGTTACCAGCGACATTGAGCTGCTGTCCTGGCTCACTCGTCCAGCTGTCACTCCCGTCATCACTCGCTGCACAGAAGTGGAAGCGGTAGGTGCCCTGATCGCTGGGGCGCAGCCCCGCCACCCGCAGGGAGCAGTTGTGCTGCTGGTTCCCCAGATAGTGGGCGCGGCCCTTGAAGGCAGCATGGACACGGGCTTTGTCCGAGTGATACACAGTTTGATCCCTGTCCCGTGTCCAGCTCACGTCACTGACCGTCCGCCCCGTGGGGTAGGTGAAGGAGCAGGGGATGGTCACGCAGGAGCCGACCCATCCAGCCAGGGTCCCTGGTGTGAGTGTCACGCCCCACTCCTGGGCGTAGACACCTGCTGGGGACAGGAATCGGGGATCAGACCAGCGCCCGGCCCCAGCGAGTTGTGGAACCCGCCCCGCAGGCTGGCACCGCACATATCCTGCCAGGAGAGGCCAGCATCAGTTCAGCACCCCAAACCAGGAGCTTTAAAACACAATTGGGGATGTTGTGTTGTGGGGCTCTCTGAGCCCCCAACCCTCCGGCGTGGGGGTGACAGTGAGCCCGGCCAGTGCTCCCTTGTGAATTGGGGAAGGGGAGTTTGGAGATGCCCCCCCCCCCCCAACATCAGCCCATCCCCTGCCCAGCAATTAATCACCCCAGTCCCTGAATCACTCCTGTCCTCCCGAGTTCTCCCATCAGTCCAGGGCAACCCCCTCCCTGCATCTGCCCAGCCACCCTTCAATCTACTCTGTCCTCTGCTTCCCATTAGTTCACCCCACCTCAGTTCAGTCCCCCTAAGTCCCCGCTCAGTTCACCTTCCCTGGCCACCCTCTTCAGTCCAGCCCCACTCAGTTCACCTTCCCATCCCCCCTCAATTCAGCCCCCCATATCACCCCTCAGTGCACCCCTCATCCCCTCTCAGTTCAGCCCCCCCATAGCTGGGTGTTTGGCCCTTGGGCCAGAGACCCTGACGGCAGGAGGAGTCCCATTGGCGAGGGGTCAGGTTAGAGTTGCCAACATTGGTTGGACAAATTCCTGGAGGCTTCATCACATGACAATCTTTAATTACAGAAACAACAAGGAGTCTGGTGGCACCTTAATGACTAACAGACTTATTTGGGCATCTGAAGAAGTGAAGTTTTTACCCACAAAAGCTTATGCCCAAATAAATCTGTTAGTCTTTAAGGTGCCACCAGACTCCTTGTTGTTTTTGTAGATACAGACTAACATGGCTACCCCCGATACTTTAATTACAGATTAATCTTTAATTCCTCGACACTCTAGGAAAATCCTGGAGGGTTGGCAACCTTAGGTCAGGCACTTCCCTTGATCAAGAAGCCAGGTGTGGATGCGGGCAGAGGCCAGCCGGGCCAGAGCTGGGTGGACGGGCAGGGCAGTGAGCAGAGCTCTCCAGGCCGGCCAAGGGGATGCCCTGACTCGCCGGGGCAGTGAGAAGCCCGGAGGCAGGACGTGGCACAGGGAAAATGGCAGCCCGGGGGACGAGAGTGGCTGGGAAACGGTCCCCACGGATCCCCTGGACAGCAGCGTGGCGCGCCTGTGTGAATTACTCACCGCTCAGAAGGCAAAAGGCAGGGACCAGCACCAAGGCCATCTCCGTCCAGGACAGAGCACTCAGCAAGCCTGGGAGGGGAAAGGGGCCGGGAATGAATCACCTGCAGCATTTCTGGGTGACAGCTCGTCTGCGCCGGGTGATGGCGTCCGGCCGCGGGAACGGCTGCGTGACCAGGTATTTTACATGTAGGGCCCTTCGTAAAAGAATTTCCTAACCAAAGGGGAGTAAAGCCCAGAGATTGGCCCAACGGAGCAAGGATTGGTAGCATTTTTATCCCTGTGTGCTTTGCGGGCCATGTGTGCAGGGCTCACGTCCTCAGGCGTGAAATGCAGCCACCTCTGGGGAGGGGGGCACGGCTGTTTGACAGCTCACAGCACAGCAGAGGGCAGGTTCAGGGCAGGACTGGAGGACCGTTCCTATGTGGAGCTGACATATGCAGGGAAAGTCAGGGAGCTGCAATGGAGCAAATCACTTTGGGGTGTGGCAGGGACCCCAGGGGGGACAGAGCCATGTGGGGGAAGGGTATCACAGGCACAAGGGG